AACAAAGAACACATGAACAAGAAATTCACATCTCCATTTCAAAAAGTATAACATACAGCGCTCTTTACAAATGGCATAACTAACACCAGAAGAGAGAGTCGTCAGAGTGGTGGCCATACAATCTATTGTAAACTTGGTGAGTGGATGTCATATAAGGGTAATTAGGTTACCCACATCAAAATTTAATCGACTAAAAGTTTATTCAAAAATTGATCTATACTTTAATACTAACAACCATGTTGAATTTTAGTGACTTTAAACAAAGTCAAGTTTGTATTTTTATGTGACACCTAAGATGCCAACCTACAAGAGTAATATTTAGATATTTCTATAATGAGGTCCAGGCAGAAAAATGTGGACACACTTTATAACTATAAAACATAATGAACGACCATGTTGACATCTCCCCTTTTGAAATATTTTGAGATTCATGACATCTTTAAGGGTGTGTTGCTATACTGTGAGAGTTTCTATCATTGGCACATCCGGAATTCAAATTAGCTCAAATCCTTTGACTAGAAAACCAAATCATTCCTTTATATAGAAAAGGCTAATATTAGTTTTTTTCTCCATATACCAACAACGAGCTTTATAATACTTTATGTCATTTATTATCCAACCACCTATATTTACAATCATATACAATCAGCATAGTTTTGTTTTTTTATTATATTATTTTTATTGTGTTTTTTATTTACGATCACATCTGATATAAGGCCTCAGAACTTATTATACATAGTCACCTTCATCAATATAATTGGTAGAAAAATAGAAGTTCATTCAATAACAATATATCATTAATAGAAAAACCAAAAGAAATTCTAAATAGAATTTGTAGATATCTTTTTACTATTATTGAGCTGTATGCTAATAGTGTACATATAGCGGAATCTTGTTATAATCGAGAACAAGAGCAATTCATAATCCTTTTGAGAGTTTTTAGAATACAGAACTATAATTAATATAACTGAAAAAACCAAACAAAGGATATAAAATAGATATAAAAAAAAATGTCTTATTTTAAGCATTTCTCCTCGGAGAAAAAGCGATCAAATAGTCTATTGTAGCACAATATATAAAAGATTAATTTACAAAAGATATTTTTTCATCATTTTATATCAAGCAAACAAACACTAAGAGATTCTTTCATTTGTTAAGTTTATATATGAAGTGGATTGGAGATTAGATCCCATATGGAATAAAAGTGATACCTCTTTCTTACTGTAAGCATTCATATTCAAAAAATTTAGTGAAGTCTTTACGATTATTGCTTTTTACGAGAGCGAAAATGGGAATATATCTATTATCAATGAAATCATAATCAATCCTTAATCATGTAAGATTGTCTTTCCACTTCCACATCTATTTTAATCCTGTGCCAAACTATTGACAAATTCTTTAGGATATGTGATGACAAATTAACACATCTTCTTTTCTACATGGCCTGGTTGATCTATAATCTCACTAATGATAGTCTTTTCATACTATATCGTTTCTAACTTGGCTTAGTATTTAATGACCATACACAAAATGAAGTCTAATTTCCTACCTTATTTTTTGTGTGTTAGTCTTATATGGTTAATTTTGAATCCAAAACTCAAAACATCAACGATATTGTGAACAATATATACCACTCACATCTATGACAAGCATAGAGGATAGGGGAGCAAAATCACTTCTCAAAATAATGAGGAGGGGAATAACAAGGACATAGGAATATAAATTTTTAAACGAGATATGGAGACCAGAAATATGCAATAACAAAATTTATTAAAAACAAAAGACAAATTAATATAAAAAAACCATATAAGGCTATCATTAATACTATATTATGTTGCAGAAAAAGAAATACATAACTTTTAACTTACTGGGAGGTTGTAGTCTCTAAGGGCTAAGTATGAAGGGTTAACCAAATAGTAAACAACAAAAAGACCATGAACCGTAAAGAATACAGAAGAGTCTTAAGGTACAGGTGTAAATTGCTGAGACATTGTAAATCGCTAAGAATCAAAAATTAATCAAAAAATTAGGTTAAACTCCTAGCATATTTCAACATAGAAAGGAACTTCTATAGAATTTTAGCTGATGTCCTTAGAGAGAGAGAATAAGTGCAAAGGATAAATTAAATGAAAAGTAAAGCAAAATATTTTATTGGAAATTTTGATGGTATAAACACCATCTATTCATGAAATAAAATTAGGTCAATAGATAGTAGTATTTCTATAAAAATTAGAACAAAAGTTTTTTTGTTCAATAAATCTCATATAAATCATAACGAGAAAAAAATTAAATATGATGTTTTTGTATAATAAATCACAAAAATCAGTCAGAAAATTTTTATCTATTTTGAAATATATAAAACTATGAGGTGACAAAAACAGTATTATTATTAATACATAAGCCTCTCTTTCACTAAACAAATTATCATGAAGCTCTTCAGAAGTTTAGAGGAAAACAAATACGTAATTCTTCATAAATCTATTTCTTCCACCATTTTCCATTATATACTAAAAAATAATTGAGAACTTATTGATTGTTTTATATCCAATTCTGTTTTCATATCGCTGCCTTTCACTAATTTTATATTCCAAAAAAAATTCCTGATAATATTTCTATAATTTAATATGAGCACTCTGTACTTCAGGAAATATACTATCAAATAGAAGCGGAAAAAATTATATAAATCATATAAATATATAACTTTTTTATACAACTTATAAAAAAATAATTTTTCTTCTATTGAATAAACTATATAAACCCACCTATAACTTGTTATAAATCTAAGACATAACACTAAAAATTATATATAATGTGTCCCTCCATTAATATAGAGTGCATTTAAAATTAAATTATATGTTGTCATATATCATTACCATAAATATTATATTCTCTTTATATATACTTTATTTTGATCAAAATTAATGATAAATAAAATTATAACCGAGAAGTATATGGAAAGTAAAGGTATGGGAGTATATTGAATTATTAAGTGAAAAATATACCATCGATAATATATATACCAATCAATATCTATGTAAAATAGTAAAAATTTATAAAATTAACAATAAAAAGATTGAAAAATTTAGGACTAAAAAGTATATTTTATAAATTACACTTCTTATTAAATTTTTAAAACGTAGATACCGAACATTATGAATTAATGTTTTGGATAGGTTTTATTAGAAAAAAATAAAAATTTAACTCTCAACTCTCTTATTTACACTTAATTATCATTTGAAGAAAAGTAGAAACAACCACTTATTATTATTTCATATATTCCAATGATTATATTTAAACATCATTTTTATTTTCTTAAGAGAGGTAATTCACCAACTGTTTTCAATAGAAAATATAACCTAGGAAGAGTAACTAAAGATTATTAAAACAGGTTACATAATTAAGTTTGGTCTTATAAATATGGAAACGCAACAAACAACCTAAGTGAATTATAGATTATCCATCTAAGGAATTTTAAAATAACCCGACGTAGGGTGTTTTTAATCACTCGATTAAATACTGTCCCAAAATTGAGGAAAGCCAAAAATACCAAATAAAAAAATATAATTTTAATTGCTTTTCAAAACTGTATATGTGGTGAAGCGGTGTGAATAAGTGAGTTGTGAGGAATTTTTTGCCTTTGTTAAAATAGGACTTCAAAATAGTTGGGATATTATCAAAATATCCACCATGATAGTTATATCAGAGTTTGCTCAGACTTAGCACATGAGAAAATTACAAGAGCGTCATTTAAGTTATACGGTTCAAGCTCTCCTCCTTGAGATTATTTGGCGTGTCTAGCCGGATGTTAAGCTTCTTGTGTTTTTTTTGTCTCTTTTTTTTTTTTTCTTTTGTTATGTATTGCGTGTTTTTTTTTTTTTGTCTTTTTCTCCTTTTGATAAAAGGCATAATAAGGCGATCTTTTTGAACTTGTGAGGCTACATATAATAAAACTTTTACATACGTGATTTAATTGTGGCCGTGTGAATCATCTTTGAAAGAGGCACAGACATGCCCAAAGTAGCATGTGGTCTTTGCTGCCAGGTTCCATTAAGGCTTGGGTGTCATATACATGACAAACCTGAATCACATATCTGGTTGATTACAATTGCAGGTATGTGCCATACTTTAAGAACGTCTCCATTATTTTCAGTTCTTTTCGTGGTCGATTGCAATTAGTTGGCTCGTTATTGACCGCTTCTTCCTTTTTTTTATATCAACATAAGTCACAAAATTCTGAAGGAAAAGTCAGAATCAAAGAGAGGGTTACGATGCACCGAAGAAGAATAGTAATCGAGAATTTACCATTTTAAAATTCTGTATACAATATGTGAGTTAGAAATAATGCGGAATTACAGAGAAAAAAGAAAAATATTACCCTTGTCACTACGTACACAATTTAATTTTAGTGTTCCATATACACTATTCCAAGGGATCAATTTCTACTATATGAAAAGTTTCTCTTCTCTGCATTTCTTTTTTTACGAGAAGCAAGACTTTAACTTTACATCGGGAGGAACCACACACTAAGACACTAATACGGAATGATTAATGTTTGGAAAGATTTTTTTTTTTTTTTTTTTTTTTTTTTTTTTTTTTTTTTTTTTTTTTTGAAACTAGACTTTATGTAGCTCATAATAAAACTTTTACATACGTGATTTAATTGTGTGCACGCCCTGTAGACATTTGAAAGGCAGCAGCCAAAGTGATGTTTGGTGGGTTGGTTATATGCAAACAACAATTTAATGGTGGCATCTTAAAGCATTTTCATCTTTCTTCTTGAATTGTCGTTTTCTTTTCTTTTTTTCCATATCCAAAATCTGGAAAAGAAAGGATATATCGAGATTTAAATTCTTAAATATTATTAAATAATGCAAGAGAAAAAAAATATTGAAAGTAATTAATTTCTATATATTCCAGGGAATTTATATATGAAATTTTTGATTTAAAGAAGAGAAAAGGAAACAAATAGACATATGTTGGAAAGAAAGGAGGACCGGACGCAACATTACTTTGGTAAACAAAAGTGTGCGTCGGCAAACACTGCATGCCAAAATTAATTTTGCATGTTCAACCCTTCACTTTCTAACTATATAACACAATGCTTCTTCTCCTCTAATCAAGGACTTACTTCTACTTCTACTCTCTCTATTCTCTCTTGTGCTTTTGAATTAACATTAATGGCATTACCTGCTCTCAAAGCACAACTCAACAACTTCGTAAAATCCATGTTTGATGAGGTACATTTACAATTTTACATATTTTTATTTTTTTTTTTTACTAATTAGTATTTTCCGTACTTTATTATATCTTAGAATTTTCCGTAGCATATTTGAAAGTATAATTTTATGCATAGTCATATATTTGTCTCATGAGGAAGAGAGTTTATTTTTTATTTTGTTACTTATACTATGACCACCGAAGTCAGTGTGAAGTATATAATTTTAAAATACACAAACTGAACAACGAGAGTTTGTATTTGAGGACTTGCTTAAGGAAGAGACTTATATTAGTTTCAATTGATGGATACTCAATGATAACTTCAATTCTCCAAATAAAAATAATTACATATTTAGAAATCCCAAGTGCTGTGTATGCTACAAAATTTAATAGTATTTTGCTTATTTTTAAGATTTTCTCTTCTGATTTATATTATTACAAGAGAGTATTGATATTTGTGGAAAGGCCAAATCAATCATTATAGTTGATTCAATAATTTAATTTGGTCATATGGGTTTTAATCATTTTATATATATATATATATATGTAGGAAGTGTTAGACAGGCAATTTACTCAAATTCAAGCCTTGCAAGATGAAAGCAATCCAAATTTTGTAGCTGAAGTGATCACTTCATTTTGCAATGATGCTGAAAGGATCATAACAGAACTGAACACATACCTGTAATTACCATGTATTAGGTTTTTTTTATTGATAATAGTAATAATAATATATACATATAAACCATTTAATTTTCAGGGCTCAACCAAATGTGGACTTCTCCAATATGGAATCTTGCGTTCATCAGCTAAAAGGAAGTAGCTCAAGGTAATTAATTAACTAACTAACTAATTCTTAAGAAAAAAAACTGATTAATCAAATAATAAATACATTAATTCGGTTCTTAAATAAATATTATTATTTCTTTTGTGTTTGATATGACAGCATTGGTGCCCAAAGATTGAAACTTGCTTGTGCTGACCTTCAACAAGCTTTTCATGACAAGAATAAGGGAGGGTGAGAATTAAGAACTGATTAGAAGAGTGATTCATATTAAAATTGTTGTAATTATCCATTTAATTAATAGATTTTGATGTTTTTAATTATAGGTGTTTGCAAGCTTTGAATACCATCACGCATGAATATTGCCTTCTAGGAAGCAAATTTGAGACCTTAATCCAGGTACTAAAAAAGCACTTAATTCTTATTTTATATTAATTATATTTTGAATTTTTACACCACAAGCAAACACTCTACTATCGGACTATATTAATTTATAAAAAATATATTCGACTCAATTTGAACCTGACACAATTTTCACTGTAATAAGTTGAAATGTTAAAACGCCCCGTATATAGTAAAATCTGCCAATTAAATTTATTAAAGGTATTATGGACATTTCGACTTGCTACTATGAAAATTGTGGCAGATCTAAGTTGAGTCATTTACTCTTTTGAATTTTTTTTTTTTTTTCTTAAGATGATGATTGAAACTTATTTGGATTAATTAAATGCATGTTCAATCTATAAAATTCTAATATTTTTCTTTTTTGAGGGAAGAACATGAATTTTTCATTCGTAATGAAAAAAGTACATTGTCATGTAAAATAAAAAATTATAAAAACATGCTTCAAAAAATATGCAATTGAAACAATTAACTTGAACTTCTTTCAATAATCTCGAATATTGTTGATGCAATACAACACACACATACACACAAAGTGTGTGCTCTACTTAATTAGTGGCTACTCTTAGCCATAAATTCTAATTTTATTAAAACTGTAAAGTATAAAATTATAGTATTTGACTTATCAGGAAGACTAATTGTGAACGCTCTTCCTTTTATTAGTTCAAATAAATCAATTACTTTTCAAAATAATTTATCTCCCGTTAAAATAGTCAATCAATTAATTTAAATAGAATTAAAAAAAAAAAAGTTATGTATGTCAAGCTACTCTCTCAAAAGGTATTTTTACAATGTTCAAACATTAAAGAGGCAAATAATTTTTTTTTTTTCAATTTTTTTACAAAATAAAATTTTAAAAATTTTGGACGTTGCCCGTTGTTGTAAATAGGAATGTTCGTTTCGACGTAACTAGATCTGATCCACAATTCACTTTATAAAACTTAATCTATATTATATATAAATGTAGGAATATGGGTAATAATGAGATTTCTGATAGTACCCTTAATGAAATTTGAATATCTTAACTAACTTTAGTTATGAACAATTAAAAAATTATATTTCATTAATTAATTTTATATAATTGATTAAAATTATTTTTAAATAAATATATATATAGATAACCAAGCATTTCGAAATTTTAAATTTTATCCTTTTTCAATTTTTTAATAAATATATATGATAATGGGACATTTTAAAATTTTTTTATATTTTATTTTTCAAATTTATTTTTTAAAATTTTGATTTTATTTTTATTATAATTTGAAATATTTTATTTAGGAGAGAAATAGAAAAGAAAAAAAAAGTATATTTTTGTAATATTCTTTTTCTTCTTTGTGTTTGTATAATTTGATTGGATATATTTTTAAAAATAACTTTTCAAATAGAATACACATAATTATTCCTTTCAAAATTTTTAAACTTTTACTTTTTAAATTTTATTTAAAAAAATGAACATATGTATATGTTGGACGATGAACAGTTAAAATTTTTAATTTTAAAATACATATAAGATTTTATTATTATATCAATATATCTCTATATATTAAAACGTATTTTTTTAGGTGATATTATAGAATTGTATATATACTATTAAAATAAAGTTTAGATAAATAACTATATAAATTAAACTGAAATAAGTGTGTATATACATACAACTGTTTTATTAATTAAAAGTTATATTCACGTTAGTTTTATATGAAATTTTATTTTAACATTAAACAAATCTAAATAATATAAGACAAAAGTTATAATAAATATTTAATATTAAAAAATAAAAAATGAGTAATAAATAACAAGTAAAAATGGTAATAACATAAAAAATTAAACGAGTAGGAATAATTAAGGGTGAGCAAACTTTGGAAAAAATCAAAAACCGAATTGAACCAAATTGTTTTCGTTTTTTAGTTCGGTTATTCGCTTTTTGGATTCGGTTTCGGTTAAAAATTTCCATAATTTCGATTTTCAATCTTTGGATCGTTTATTCTAAAATATTTATTTTTTGAGTAAAAACTGACAGTTTGACCGAAACAATGCCTACCGAACCGAACCGACCAGTTTGATTTGATTTTTTCGAAATTATTTCGTTTTGGTTCGGGTTTCAAAAAAAATCTATTTTCGGTTTTCGATTTATGCAGTTTAAACCGAACCATCTATTTGCACACCTCTACGCATAACGAGTAAAGTCAATGTACAACACACACTATAAAAAGACTAAATGGAGCAAATATGGATAGATAGTAATCCAACCTGAGCCAATTAATTTTTTTCTCTTTTTTTGTATAAAAAGTAAACTCTTTGATTTTATGTATATTATCTAGACATGAACAGATCCGAACCCGACCTAATGTAATACTGGATGGGTATCCGATAAATATTATTTTATATTACCGAATTGGATATGAATATTGCAAATTCCAATCCGAAGCCGATGCAGGATAATTCCCGATTGCAGATGGTCAACATTGGCATAGAAACTTTGTGCGGTATATGGTACAGTTGCGAATTTGGATATCTTATGCTTAACCCACGTATCGATAATAAAGCTCTAAAACATAAGAAATTATTATACTAGGTGCATACTCCTGGTGATTAAAGAGCATGAACCCTACCTATGGGTTCCGCTGGGATCCATTAGTATGAACCTTAGGGAACACCTAATGAACTTCCCTAAAAGAAACCTATCAATCTGCTTTTATGTAAATAATCTGTTTCAAACCTTTTGTTCTTTTCTCTTTTCTTAAAAATACTATTTTAAATGCAATTAAGAAAATAATTACAGTGTTATTTAACTGCTTAAAATTTGGGTAAATAATATCTAAATTAACACTTTTATCTCTCTGCTTTCAAAAAATTACTATGAAGTGAGTTTCATCTGTTATTTTTTAGACGGAAAGTGTTCACGTTTTAAACGGAAAAGCCCAATAATGAATGAAAAATTTAGAGATGTTATAATAATTTCTCGAAAACAAAGAATAAAAGTGTGTTAATTAGAATATAATTCAGACATCAATGTGTATTTTAACCTTAAAATTTTATAACTAAATTATGCTACGTTTGTTTTTTTATTTATTTAATGTTATTCCAAGAAAGTGTTCCTAACAGCAACTCAAATAAAGGATGCTAAATACAACCTTAGAAATTGGTTGCAGATTCAAACTTGCACCCTAAAAATTAGCTCAGAAGCTAATTGATTTTCCTATTCTGTTTACCTGGAATTAAAGTGGCCAATGCCATTTCATAATATCCTGTTGTCTTTGGTTTTGGTCCTACAGCTAGAGAAGAGCATTCAACATGAACAGGAAAGCTACCACGTCGAATGATGTTGACATATATAAGGGTTTTATCAGTTTAATGCAGCTATTGTACTTAATTCTTATAGTTCATATGTAATTCAATTAAACACCTTCTGATTTGATGCATACGTGTGTTTTTTATTGTAAGATAAACATAGCAAGGAACTGATGAGTGGCGCCTGTAAAGAGTTCCTTCTTTTTATTTTCTTTTGGAGTGGATTGTATAAATTATTAGGGAGTAATGTTTTTCTTCTGTCGTATAAATTGATAGGTTTTATTTTTTTAACTATTTTTATTAAGTTTTTTCTAGGATTTCTTTTAATTTTTATTTATTTTGTTTTATTTTAGTTAAAATATTTATATTTTTCAAATAGCTTCCTTGAATCATATTTCACTTAATCTTGAGAAATTTTATAAGATTTTTACGGGAAAACAGCCAAAAATATAAAAGAGGATTAAAGCAATCATTTGGCCATCAAATTCAGCAAGAAGCACGCTCAGGCCATGCTACTCAGCACCCTAGTGCTACAGAGTTCAACTTAGGCCGAGATTTCATATTAAGCTCGTTTTGCTTATATGAATATGTATGAAGATATTGTGTGACGTACCTTATTAAAGCTGAAGTCCTATTTAGATGTTAGGAGTCCTAATTGGAAAGAAATACAAAAGCTAAATAGTTTCCTATCTCCAAAAAATTTCTCTCTCAATATAAATTCACTTTTCTAAACGAATCTAAAGATATTCCAAAAGGTCTATATAAAGAAAGAGACTAGACATAATTTACGGTCATCCATTATATATTAAATCTTCTATTATTCTCTACTCTGTATAGTTTTCTCTTTTTAAGACTTCAAGTATTCAAATTAGTATCAAGATTTAAGGAAGCCGTTCAATCCTATCGTCGACGAGTTTTTATTTCTAAACTCTATTCTTATTTATCATTCATTATGGGATTTACAAGTTTATTTGAGTTTAATTTAATTGCTCTATTGAATTAAATCTTTTTACTAGAGATGTGATATAACTTAAATTCAACTCCAATTTATAATATTAGATTTGATTTTCTTTATTCAAGTAAAATTTATTATTGATTTTAATACTTACAGACAGAGTTTCTTTCATGGATTAATCTATTTCATTAATCACTTAAGAGGATTTTTTAATATGAACAGGATAATAAACTTCATGGAAATAATAACTTGATGCAAGAACTAGATGATTTGATTTGTGAGAGAATTTCATAAAATTAAGGGTCTTAATTTGTGGATTATGAAATAATCACAAGAACTTAATGATTTAATCTATATTTGATTGCTCCATTAAAAGATAAATAATTGAATTATTTGAAAATAGCTAATAAAAACATCGAGAAAGCTTATTAGCGATTTTAGGATTAGTCTTCCTTCTTAAATAATTAATTAAAATTGATTATCAAACTAATAAAATAAATTGAATAGAATTAAGTGAAGTCAAAATCTCTAGTAGTCTTTAATCCTTGATTTTTTTTACTTATTACTGATCTTATTGTCGCCTAGATAATATAATTTTAGTATTTGATATACAATCCTCATGGGAACGATACTTTTCTCATTCTTTATTATTTATTTGCCATTTCGTATACCTAGTAAATTTAGCCCGTCATAAATTTCAAGAAAATCTTAAAGTTCAGTGCAGAATTAATCTACAATCTTTCAAGTTCAGAGCAGAATTAATCTACGAGTGGTACTGGAATCACCTATGCAAATTAAATTCCAATTGTTCTGGAATCATCTATGCAATTTAAATTCCAATCAGAGCCACTGAAGAAAAAGTACATGTATACACCGTATGATATTCTAGTAGGGAGAGACTAAGTTTAAAAAATTTAAAATCCTCACACGTGGCACTTCTTTGGACAGATTCATGAACTTAATACAGTGTGTTTTGACCTTCTCGATATACAAATTCTTGATGCAAGAACGTTGACATTGTAGAAATGGACGTTGTCTACTTAAGCACTTAGATGTTGGTTCTTGACAACCATGATAGATGTGACTTAACTCCAATTCTTTCCAGGTAGTGGATTGAAAAACAAACTAGACATTATGGAAAGCAATCCGATACAAAAAAAAAAAAGATGATAATATTAGCATTCAAGAAAGACTGACGTGACATGTATGACAAACTAGCTATTTACATTCACTCTTAAGTATCCACTAGGTAAAAAGCATTAGAAAGAAATTTAGTTGTGAGAAGCCACATCGCCATTAGAGATGTCCGATGTGGTGGGTTCAGCTGTAGGTGATGCGAGACTGGCTGTAGGTGATGTGAGACCGGCCATCCGCCTATGGTAAGATGGAGTAGGAGGAGTTCTTGGAGATAGGTTAACAAATTCCAAAGCTTGTACTCTTAGTTCAACCGGATAGTCGGCTACGCACCCGATCCTTGGACCAGCTCCAGTTGACCATTTGCGTGAGAGTTGATGCCCCAGTTGATATGATTTGGCCGCCTTCTTAGAATTGATTCTTTGCAAGATAGCATTCTTTGGGACATCAGCTCTTGGGCTTTGAAGACCTCCGGACAATGTCCTTTTGTATTCACCTCTGCTCTCACTCTCTGCAACTTTGGATGGTTGAGAGGTTGAATCCTTTTCTTCGACAGGCATTTCAAGTTTGGTAGGTCCTAATGTGCTAGGAACTTCAAGTCTCATCTCACTCGCATTGAATTTTCCATCATCATAGTTATCAGAATCTTCACTGGCCTTGTTTATCTGAAAACACCAGATGTGAAGGATAATAATCAAGCTACGGACACAAAAATGTTGCTGATTGCATTTCTAAGATGGATAACCAGGCCACTATCAAGAAGATGTAACTGAGATAATAAAAATCAAAATCATACAGTCCAAACCCACCAATCACTTTTATGAGTGGATTATAATTGAGTTCCACAAGGCACTAGCCATAAATTTTCCCTGGTTATTTTAAGCCTCCAGGTTTTTGAAACTATGGTGAGAAATGATGAATACCTGGACTTCATCAAGGTTCACGCCATCATCCTGGAGAAAGGACAAAAAGCTGTCGAAGCTATCTTCTGTAGGTCGGTAATGTCCACTATATGGAGAAATGGACTGCAAAATCAAAACATTGATTATCAGAAAACACAGGTCATGACAATTTACAGAATTTTTTATTGCAATTGCCAACAAAGCATATGTGGATGAGCAGAAAAACTATTTCCACTATCATATCATCCCAGTGCACTTAGCATGGTAATGAAATGAATATGTTTTCCTAAACGCTTGCCTAAACATTCAACACTCGAGGAAAGCATCTTATCCATTTTGAAAAGGGAATATAATCATTTGGTAATTTCTTTCTGTTGGATGCCCAAGGCCCCATAGTACAGAAAGATTATAGCTATTTTGTTGCTTTTATCTTGATACATTAACCGTTCAATTCCTAAGAAGATGCAAGGCCTGTACACATTAGGAGGGGATACAATCACTGTAGCAGCAGCTAATAAAATTAATTTACTCCATATGTTCAAAAGAGTGCAAAAGCATGACAAAAAAAGCCATGAGCCAGGCATGGTAGTCAACTTTGTCATTAACCAAATGGGCGACAGCTTACCGATATGTATCAGTTTTGCTGAGCAGGGAATGAAGCCAAGGTGAAGTCACACAAGTACTATCTGAAAACTACCCATATATTCTAAACGCTCATCATGAATTTTGGATTCCATAAGGATTCACTTGACATTCAAGAAATAAAATTCTGAAAGTTGGTCTAAATGAAAGGATTGATTCACAACAGGCCTTTTCTCCCTCTTGGGAACTTGTTTACCCTTTTTTATCTGTGAACTGAAGGCTGGAGTAGGTCGGGATTGGAGGATCATATAGTCTGAGAAAAGTAATAAGTCCCATGTCAACTGTATTAACCTTTTAGAACATAACTTGGATAGTGGGTCTTTAGGGTATTCTTCAGGTAGAAAACAGTAGTAATCCATGTGATGGCAGAAATCAAGTTTGATCCATCCAAACAGTATCACTACTTCACTTGCCAATAATAATCCCTTAAAACACATACCTTAAGAATTCCATCCTCTGCCACTAGCCTTCCAGCAGCTAATGTAGCACCACCAGCCAAGAAGCTTGAATGATGGAAAATCCCTTTCTTTTTCTGGGAGAAATTCACAATGCATAAGTTTTTTCTGGAATAAGTAGGAGCAAATAAACAAGTAGAGAACTAAATACTAAAGTGTAATCCTGTTTAATTAATCTCATACCTCACCAGCATACAGCCTCTTAAAGGTGCTCATAACAAATATCCACTTGGCTCCTTTTGATCCTTCAGATGTATCAAGGAGATTACCAGTTTGTTTATGTATAATTTTTCCTTCAACAACAATATACTCATAGTGTTCTCTCTCTTGCTGATTTGTGATAAAGTGGAAATGAACCAAAATGCAGCATATCAGGATCTAGATTCACCGACAATAAGAAACGTGTTTCAATTTATACCAATGTTGAAGTTGACTGGCAATACTTACAGGCCCTAGATACTTAATGCATTGCTTTCGAAGCTTTGATCTTGGACATTCCTCGAGATCAAGCTCTTTACCATCTCCTATGTCCAACCTACCGAGAGTAGTGGGAACAAATACTTTCAGAAACTACAAGTTACCATTAAAATAAGTTACAATTATGCATCAGCATGTCTTAATACAACCTGAAATAGAGCAAAAAAGAAAAAACTAGCAACAACAATAAATAACACTGATTGAAGAATTTATCAGGGTACAATGGTAATTTAACCACAATCAGTTTCAGTCCTTGAAAGCAGCTGTAAGCCTTCAATACCTTGAAGGCTACCTTACCGGCCACAGAAATAATAATAAATCAATAATAAACAAAAATTCCTCCTGTAAACAGGAAATTAAAAGAAAAGATAAAGAAAAATGGAAATTTGACTTTCAAAGGAAAAGAAGCAGAATTTGCCTACCAGTAAAAGAAGGGTTGACCAGAATTTGTCTTGCACCACTCTTCATAATAAAAATGCAAGTTATGCCCATATCGATGCCTTGGATCAATCTACGCATCACATATTAAGGAGAAAAAGAAATAAATAAATAAAAATATCAGAAAAAATATGGCAGATACAAAATCTATAATCCCAGTTAAATTAAACAATAAACTTATTAACAACTACAAATTTAAATAAAATATAATAATTACAGCTTCAATCCAATGTTGAAAAGCCAATTTTTGTGCTTTGGCGTCTTTGGATAATCCCTTCCCCACCTGCCAAAATCAAGAATTTGCCTATTAAAAATTCTTCAAAGGTAAAAAAATTGTGTATTTAAAAAGACAAAATAGTCAGTGACACAACCCTGTTCATGTTTCACCAAATTAAAAAAATACAGAAAGAAAAAGAAAAAAAAAATAGTGATTTCAGCTGACCTTAGAAGCATTTAAGCTAATACGATTCCATCTAGAAGCTGCAGTTTCTGGTTTTAAGAAATTGAAGAAAGAAATAGTACTGTGATTCAGTCTCGCGAAGTCTATCAATTGCCACCTTTCAATTCACCATAAAAATAAAACCAATGATTAATTATCTTTAACAAAAAAAAGCAAATTAAAAAGAGAAAAATAGATAATAGTTAGTGGACCTACCACAGCTCTTCAGCCACAACGGCGGAGTCAGCTAACCTACGCCGAGTACGATAACTCCGGTACACCTTCTGCAGCTTCAACGCGGCGGCACTTCCATAACTCGCGCCTTCTTGCTCTTTCACCACTGGCGAATCCTGACCGGTCAACGCCGGCATTTCAAATCCCTCACATTTCCGATCAACGGTCTCGTCAGAATAAAGACCATCGGAGTTCGAAATACTCACCGGCGACGGGCCACGAGGTCGGGATACTCGAGAAATGTCCATTTTATCAAGGGAGAAAGTGAAAGGAGATAAAGCTTGGGTCTCAAGTCTCTCCACCTCCATGTTCTTTCTCTGGTTTTGCAAAGAAAGCGAAGCTGCAGGGAAGGAAATGACACAAAGCCCAAGAATTTGAAACAAAATTAATTACCTACTGCGAAACTATAAAAGAAAACACAACAACAAAGAGAGTTTGGTACAGAGAGAGGAAGAAGAAGAGAGTAGAGAGTTCCTGTGGGCAAGTATGCGAATCAGAGAGTTATAGAGCAACGAGAAAGAACACTGGTGTTTATTATTCGTGTTTGCCGGGAACTATATATGCATACCTTTTATTATTAATTCGACGAAGTTAGTGATATGTGGCACGCGCTTTTACAGGGAATGAGACGCACGCTCGTATGTGAAAATAAAAATTGAAAAGGAAAAAGAAAGGGAATAAGAATAATGGGTTAGCCTTTGCCTCCGAAGGGGACAGTCGGTGCTCGGAATCCATTTATGACTTGCGAGTACGGCTTTGAAAGGTGGTTCACTCGTTCCTGTTACAGATTAGGCCTCAACCGTTCCCAACTTAATTTGCCCCGACACTAATTATTTTTCCATAGCAAAAACAATTCTATACTATTAAAGTTGTGTTTAAAGCTTCTATAATTTATAATTTATTTTTAATAAATAAGTTTATCATTTTATAAAGATATATTGAAATAAAAAGAAAAAAATCATTATCAAAATAATTACTTCTACTCTCAATTTTGGTCGCAACTCACTTCGTTATCATCTCTATTTTTATATAAAAATATTAGCTATTAAAATTTAATTTAATTTTAATAAAATTATAGTAGATAAGAAATGATTACTATTAATATATTTTTTTTATTATTAATAAGTGTAATTTTAAATTTAATAGTTGATAAACTTATCTTTATATAATTACAATTTTATAATAACTAATTCTACGACTTTAATAAATAAATTTATTATTTTATAAAAATATATTGAAATAAAAAGGAAAAATCATTGGAAAATCGTCATGCCCCACTCTCAATCTTGTCCCGACCCGCTTCACCACCATCCCTATTCTTGTATAAAAATATACATTTTTAAAAATTAAATTATTTTAATTAAATTATATTAGATAAGTAATGACTATTATTAATATAGATTTTTATTATGCATTGGTGGAATTTTAAATCTAACAATTGATAAGCTAATGTTTATATAATTACAATTTTATAATCACCAATTCTACTACTTTATATCCTCCAAACAAACAAAAAAAAAAAAAAAACCTTCCGCAAACAAACAGAGAAAAATATAAAAAAAATCCAAAAAAAAAAAAAAAAAATCCACCACTTTAAAAATTTTCTCTTTTTTTAATAATTTTCAATTATTAATTATTAATATGAATTAAAAATTGAATAGTGAATATTTTTATTTTTCTTAATGTTCTTCATATTTAAGAAAATTATATTAAGTTTAAATTCTTTATAATCAAATTTTGACTTTTTCAGATATAATTCATGGCTATGTCCTACCAAATAATTTTTTTACTTTCATTCATCTGTAGCAACTGAAAAGGTTTGAAAAATAAAATATACAAAAAATGTCAAATTGTTTTAAGTATTCATTTACTTCAGAAGTTATAAATTTAAATTTTGATAACTTCAATTTTTAATTTAGTAAATAATTAGTTTAAGGCGTAACTGTTGAAATCGAAAAATATAGAAATTCTCATTAGAGTTTTAGAAAATCAAAATCAATTAATTGTTGGAATTTTATTCAATTAATTTATTCCACATGCTTTATTTTATTATTTTTATACAATTTTCTTTTTTTTTTTTTTTCATCATTACAATTTAATTGAATAATAAAGAATGGCGGTTGGTTGTGCTTTTGTCAATGAAACAGGTTTTATTGTTTGGCTGATTTGGATATAAAATAAAATAATAATTAAATATATAGATGGCAACAACAGATGAATAATTTAAAGGCTTGGAAATCTGTGAAAGTCTGAATCACGTGGACAGATTTTCTTCTCTTTTCTTTTACAGCCGACTTTTCATTCCTTTAGTGTTTGGTTGCGAGTTTTCGCTCCAACTTGCCTTTGTAATGGGACAGTGAGACTGAGAGTAGTAGAAACGAAACACAGTTGAAATACCCAAAACGACCTCGCTCGAAATCTACGAAACTAAATTGATTTTAGTTTAATATAGATTTAATTGATATATAACAAAAATTGCTTATATGTAAATAGATAACTTCAGAAAAAATCTAGTGGTATTTATTTTATATTTTTTTGAAAATATAATTTATTAATAATAACATCAAGGATTATAAATATTCATATAGACCAAGCGTAATTAAAACTTTACTATTAATTGCTAATATAATTTATTGATCCTTTAATGAAAGAAAAGAGTTTATATTTTTTTGAATAATGAAACTAAATTTTAATAAATATAATATTAGATCTTTTCACTTGGAGTTGATATTGACAAGAAATATAAATCTTTATAGCAGCAACTAATTCATTAATTGATTTGGATAACAACAAAATAATAACTTCTCTAAATTTTCCATACCTAGATTGCTTTTTCAATGCTTTACAACATATGTCGAACACAAATGAGTTCCACCACTATGTGTCTGAAATAATCCAAAAATTGATTTTCATAGATTTTCCATTTAAAGATTAATTTTTAATTTCAACCAATGGCATTATACAATGAAATTTAAAAGAAAATATTTTATTGTTAAACTGGACCCATAAACCGATTTAAATCTTCAAGTTAATTAGATGAAAACCTGTTATAAACGGTTGAGTCAGACCAAACTGGTTCGAACCGAAATGATTTAGAAAACCCTTGGAATTTCTTTATCTTTCTATTCTTTCTCTTCTTCTTCTTCTTCGTCCAGCTGCATGCAGCCTTCTCTCTCTCTCTCTCTCTCTCTCTCTCTTATTTTTTCTCTTTCCTTTTCTTCTTCGTTTCCAGCGTTGCAGTAGCAAGGCCTTCTCTCTCTCTCTCTCTCTCTTCTCTCTCTGCTCTCTCTCGGTCCATCTTCTCTCTCCTCTCTCTCTCTCTCTCTCTCTCTCTCTCTCTCTCTCTCTCTCTCTCTCTCTATTTCTTTTGTTTTTCTGACCATTGAAGCCAGTCAATGACACCACTGCCCGCCCTCATGCCGCCAACCTTTCTCTTTCTCCTTCTGCGTTCGTTTCAGGTGAACACAGTAGCGCTATAGACGCTCAATGTTTGCCTCTAAATGGCTCAGTGATGACAACCTTTTTTACATAAAATGGAATCAGGACTTCCGATCGCTTTGATCTTTGGACAAATCGTCCGTGGTTAAGATAATTGAATTATTTAACTATATTTACTTTTTCAGGCGTTTTACAGTGAAATTGGGCTTAAGAAGCGCTCTGAATCAGCTCGATATGCTTTCCAGTACACCGTCTCATTTTGCGTGCCACCCAGTCCGACTTGGTAAAAATAGGCCCGGCCCATTTTTGGGACCCACTAGTAGCACTTCCACCTAAGCCCTAAAATTAGAGCAACATTCCCTATTTGCTTATAAATAGGGCATTAGGAAGTATGCAAAGGGAGGTTTTTTGGATCAATTAAGGGAAACTCTTTTAAATTGAAAACTTAACCTTAATCCAAGAAAAACTTGTGTTTCTTACTTGGATTCAAGGCTCTATCCAATCATTTTTGGATAAAAATTTCCTGATTTGTGATAAAAAAAAATGCACAAATACTCACATTAAACTTAAACTCGGATTTGTTAATTGAAAATCAAAGGTTTTGAGTTTCTTGGTTCGTTTTTCCCAAAATCTTTAGAATTTCTCAAGCAAGGTAATCTCTGAGAGCCCTGAACTTATTCCTCGTCTTTTTCTTTTCATTTTGGTGTTAAAACACCTTTTCCATATTGGTTGGGAGAGAAATAAGTGAACAACCAGAAAGTTTTCGACTGTGTCAAAAGTGGCTCACGCTACAAGTTAAGGGCCTAGTGCCATTACATGTGGCGTGCGCCACTTCTTCTTCGGCCAGAAAGCTCCAAATAATGTTCTACATCTTCTTATCAGGGCAAGTCTGAGCACCACTCGTAATGGGGTAGGCCACTTCTCTTATAGTGCACAGACCTTCATTTCAGAAGTCCAGAAATATAAAATCAATAAAATAAAGGCATAAATATTGGTTTTATGACACCTGATATGGGTAAGGTCTGCACGCCACTTCATGTGGCGTACGGACCTTTGTTTTAGATGTGCAGAACACTAAAAATAATAAAATGGTCTCGAGTCGAAGTTTCATTAGTCAAGCACTAGACTTTATTGTTCTGGATCGCGATTTTGACCTATCATGGATTGAATAAACATACAACAAGAAATAGATAGTGACAAGTGCATTTGTTTATCAACCATGATGAACATCAAGGCTTTGAACCCAAATCTTGTTTAAACCCTTAAAATTATTGCTTTTAATTTATTGTTTTTTACTTTTATACACCTTTAAGATTCTATCTTTTACATTTATGCTTTATTATTCATTGCTTTGTGATTATCGCTGGGCCAACCCATTAAATACTAGCTTATGAACATAAACATGCACCATGTTATCATTATTGAATGAATGTACATTTTTATGGTTCTATGGATGTTTATTAAATTCTGTGATTATTGTTATTCATTAGTGATTGATTGTACTTATTGCTTCTATTATATTGAGCTTGATGTAAAGGGTCCATAATGGATTCTTATTAATTAATGTGTTGTAATAGATAGTCGGTTGAAAAAATTTTAATGGGATAAATGGGTAGAATATAAACTAGGAAGATGTTGTAATTCTTTTCTCCTTCCTCCCCTTCTTTGGATGTTTAATTTGCATATATGTAGTTGTGTGTTTGTGTGACATGTTTTCTAAAAATACATTAAAACGTATTTTGCATCTCAATTAGAGTTAATTCTATTATTAATCATTGTGAATTAGTGGACAACGAAGGAGGCCGATTTAATCAAGCAGTTCAGGTGCCTAACACCTTTTCCATACCGTACCAAACTTCCTTATCCAGTCTGTAGTTTAAAACCGAATTAGTCGATTCCAAAGAATCGATTAATTCGAGATTTTTTTCTAAAAAGGGTGGCAACTCCAAAATAAAACTCTTAACAAAGTAAAAGATATTTTTCGAGGGTTAATGAATGCTTCTAATAAAAAAAACTACTTTTTCAAAATGAAATGAACCAAGCCCATTCTATTTTCCTTCGCTGGAAAATAAAGCATCCTCAAAAGCCATCACTTCGTGTGACCTC